CCCACCCGAAGGCAAGGCCCCCGACCGCGAGGAAGCCGACCTCCGAGACGGAATTACCCATGCCGTTCAGGGAGGCGGCCGCCCGGCCGCAGCGAGGCGGTCGAGGTCGTCGCGTCCGCCGCGAAGGTGTCCCTGCTCTCAGCCGCGACGGCGGCGCCGCTTGCTCCCAGAGCAGGCGTCGCGCCCGCCGTCGCCGCCGCGCCCCAGACCTCGACCGCGTCGGTGTCGGCCCTGCGGAGTTGCCGTCAGGAGCGGGCAGGGCCACGCTGGGGCCGCGGCCCGCCACCAGCCCGTCCGCCCATTCGTCGTCCAGCTCCTCCTGCATCCCGGCCGGCTCTACAGCGGGCGTAGCAGCGACCTCAAGGAGACGGAGGCCCGCGGGGGCAGGCTGCGGGCGGCGTTGCAGCCGCGGCCTGTGACCACCCCCCACGGCGCCGTACATCTCGGCGTCACCGCGCGTCTCGCCGCCGTCGGCGCGAGCAGCGTCGGCCGCGGCATCGCCGCAGCCCGCAGCGCCGCCGTCACGACCGCCACGCCCCCGTCGCCATCGCTGCCCCCCAGGGGCAGCAGCAGCGCCAGGCGCGGGCGCGGGCGGCGGTGTGGCGGAAGCCCGAAAGCTCGCCACCGCCGCGCGCAGCAGGCCTTCGGCGGCCCGCAGCAGGCGCACTCCTGACTGGGAGTGGGCCGCCGCGAGGCCCGCCGCGGCGTGCGTCGTCAGGAGCGCCCCGCGGGTTGCTTCCTCGGCGACGCGCTGCTGCGAGAGCGCACCTGGCATTGCCCCACAGCGAGCGCGGCGCGGCCGCGGCTTTACAGCGATGCGGAGTTGAGCAGGAGGAGGAGGAGGAGGATTGAGGAGGATTGAGTACTCGGAGGATTGAGGCGGAATATGCATTAGGTAGTAGTAGTGATTAGTAGATTATTCGTAGGAGGCTTAGGAGTCGGATTCTGCGCATGGGTGAGGGCGGAGATCGCTGCGGACGGAGGCGGGGTGCTTCGTGCGCGGGTCGGGGTGTGGCGGCGAAGGGGGAGGGGTAGGGGTAGGGGGAGGGGTCCAGCTGTGCGCTCCCGCGTCCTATATGAAATCTAACCCCTCCCTTCTCCATCCCTTACCAGGCGCCAGATCCCCTCTCTACGCTCCAGTCGGATGTCGAGCAGGGCAATGATCCCGAAAGGGTACGCGATGCATTGTAGAGCACGGCATGGCATTGCGTAGAAGAGCACCGCAAAGCGTAGTATCAACCTAGCATTGCATTGCATGCCGTGGCATGGCACGGGAAATGACGCCAGCGCTGCAGCGGGAGCACGAGTCGAAACGAGCGGAAGCGCGGAAATGAGGCCAGCGCTGCAGTGGGAGTACGATTCGGAACGAGCGGAAGCACGGAAATGAGGCCAGCGCTGCAGCGGGAGCACGATTTTCGGAACGAGCGGGGCCCGAAAATGAGGCCAGCGCCTCAGCGAGAGCAGCATTTTGAGAAAAAATGCAGGCGATAATCCAATTCCGGGGAAACCTGTGTGTAAAAAAACAGTACGCGGGGGGGGGTCGGCCACTTTCAAACCGTCATCAGAGGAAGAGGGATAGTAGTATTCATACTGAGTAATTGTGGAGGAGGGGGAGGGGGAGGGGCTGGGAGAGGGGGGGGGAGAGGGCGGGAGGGTGGGGGGGTGAGGGGGAGGGGGAGGATGAGGATGAGGATGAGGACGAGGATGAGGATGAGGATGAGGATGATGATAAGGCTGATGATGAGGATGAGGATGATGATGCTGGTGGTGATGATGATCATGATGCTGCGGATGATGATGATGATGATGATGAGGATGATGATGCTGATGATGATGGTGCTGATGATGATGCTGCTGATGATGCTGCTGCTGCTGATGATGATGATGATGATGATGATGAGGAGGAGGAGGAGGAGGAGGAGGAGGAGAGGAGTGTCCTCCTCGCGTCTCTCGCATCCCAGCCCGTGCTGGCCGACAGGGCCAGGGCCGCTGCCATGCGCGACATTTAAGCGGCGGCGCCTGCGCCGCATTTTCAATTATACCAGAGTTGATACGTTGCTGTGCTCGGTTTAGAGATGCACACTGCTTCGCAGGAGACTCGGCTGGGGAAACCCTCCAATCCTCAAGACGGGAAAAAATCATACAGACACAATTCATCGTCGACTCCCAGGAAAATGCGGGAAAGCATGGGAAGTGTGCTGGGGGAAGACGAACATTCAGGACATGTCGCAAAATCGCAGGAATCCTGGGACCTGTTTCTGTTTACCTGTGTGTCCGTGGGCCCCTTCAGTGATACGTTGCTGTACTCGGTTTAGAGATGCACGCTGCTTCGCAGGGGACGCAGCCGTGGAGCCCCTGCGAGCCGTCCGTTTGGCAGAAGACGTGACGTTTGGCACACCGGCAGCGAGGTCTGAGCCGGCCACCCGTGTCCCGTGCGGCTCCTCCTCTTCTGCGTGTGTCGGCTGGTTTTGCTTCGTGCTCCTCGGCGTCCTCGTGTTCCTTATCCTCAGTCCTCATGCTGAATGGGGAGGGAGGGTCCTGTCCACTAGGCACGAGTCCCCTCTCAGCCCTCATCCGACTAGTGAGGTCACCAGTACTCATCCTTCCTGAAACCATCTCAGACAAGATGGTTGGGAGAGGAAGTATGTCTTCCTGGTTCCTCCCCCATCAAGCCTACCCTTCTCCGTCAGGCTCACTCCTCCGTCCTTCACCTTCGCACCTCCTTCGGCAGCAAATCCTGGGAGCCTGGTGTACCCTCCTGGTTCCGTCTTCAGCCTCGATTGGCGTCTGGATGTCGATCAGATGGCGCCGACCTAGCGTTGGGCAGCGTCGATGCGCCTTGACTAGCGTCGATTAGCGTCGATTCGCAAGAGCTGACACCGAGTGTTCCATGCTCCCGGGCTGACACCGAGCTGACACCGAGCTGATTCGTAGATGGTATGGGAGGCTTCCATGAGTTGTCACCGAAACCTTTCTCCTGCTCTTCCTCTTCTCCCTTGTCCTTCCCCCCCCTCATTCCCTCGTCCTGGTCCTCCTAGTTCCCTCGTGCTCTTCTTCTACCTTCCCTCCTCCGCGCCCCCCCTTCTCTTCCTCGTCCTCCTCCCTCTTGAGGCTCTCACAGCGCCCGTTCGGGGCTGTGGGGTACTCTTGGGCTATCTTGGTTCGTCTCGAGGCCTCTTTGGGGCGGTTTTGGGCCTCATGGGGAGGCCGGGTTTGGGGCCTCTTGGGACCTTCCGTTGGTTCTTCCGAGGCTCTCTTGGAGCAATGTCGAGCCGAAAAGCGTGGGATTCAGCGAGTTTGGTTAGCTGGGGGTCATTTTGGGGTGGGCCTCCTTGTTCCAATTTCGAGCCCCCATGAATCAACTTGTGATGCTTTTCTATTCCATCCTGGGACCGGCTTGAATTGTCTGTCTTGGGGATATACGGGATGTCGTGGTACCTTTGAAGGCCGTCTTTAGGCCAGAGAGTGTGGGACAACAGTTCGACATTTGTACCTGCTCCAGTTCAGTGCCCCGTGTGACCTGGTGCGGGTCGCAGCACACATCCTCATGGTCTGAGTTTCGCTCTCCCCAATCTTGCTTCCTCCTTCATTCTTTCTTGCTCCCCCTTCCCCGTCACTCTCAAAGGAATACAGCCAAGACGCTGCAATAAGGAACAGTTTGTCTTCGGGAAGCGCAGGATGTTCCTCAGGTCCATCCATGGCTGTTCCTTTAACTAGCCCTCCTCGTGAACGAAGGCGGTTCTGGGGCCTAAAAGGGGGCTTCCTTCTATCTAGCGTTCCTTATCCGCAAGGGCTTCGCCCCCATGCCGCCGGCCCCCCTCTCTTAGAATGGGACTTGCCAGACCTGTGTTGGGATGTCTGGACGCTGACGTGAGGCAGTGTTGGGACTTCACGTGAGGGCCAATATTTATACGAGGGTGTATGGCTTCGGTGGCGCGACTATGAGTTAATTTACAGTGTTTTATGGCTTCGGGGACGAGAATGTTGCGAAACTTGCGAGGGTTTGTGGCCTCGGGGACGCAACTATTATATGATTTCCAAGGGTGTGTGGCTTCGAGGGCGCAAACATTAGGTAATTTACAAGGGTGTATGGCCTCGGGGGCGCGAATATTGTATAGTTTGCGAGGGCATGTGGCCTCGGGGACGCAAGCGCGGTGTAACTTACGAGGGTTTATTGTATACTTGTCGGAAGTTTATGGTTTCGGGGGCGCGAGCATTATGTAATTATGCATGGGTTTCTGGTCTCGGGGGTGCGAACATTTGGTAATTTACTAGGGTTTATGGCTTCGGGGACGCGAAGATTGCGTAATTTACAAGGGGTTATGGCTTCGGGGACACGTATATCGAGACATGTTCGAGGGTTTATGCTTTTGGGAACGTGAATCTGGTGCCATCTACTAGGGATTCTGGCATCGGGAACGCAATTCTGGTGTAGTTCCCCACATCCTAAGTGGGGTTCTTGTTTTCTCTGCACACCCTCCGCGCAGGATCTCTCGTCCTCCTCCGTCTCCTCTGCTCCTCTTTGCTTCCTCCTCCGCATCATCATCACCATCACCATCACTCCCACTCATCATCATCATCATCATCACCATCAGCATCACCATCACCATCGCACGATCACTCACCATCATCGGCATCGAACGATCATCATCATCATACAGCGACTTGTCGGCATTTGTGGTAACTCCGCGGCCGTATTCCCTCGCTCAAGTTCTAAAGGAATGCAAGCATTATTTGAGCGGGTCTGCGCCGACCTCACCAGTGCCCTCACCACTGCCATCATAGTTCGCGGCAGCTCGACGCCCTGCCCAGATTGCGTCTGCTCTCCAGCGCTGCACTGCCCTGCGTTGGAGTGCCGCTGCCCGACAGGCGAGGGCTCGCTGGCATCCGTGCAGCCCACAGGCTGGTCAACTGAGTTCGTGGTCGTGCTCGTGGTGAGCTCCTTCGCATACGGCATCGTCGTAGGCGGCTTTTTCATCAAGAGCTCTCGGACGGCCCCCGTGGTTCAGCCCGCACCCGCTCCAGCACCTCTGCCCGAGACGGTGGACACTCTCCACCTTGCGACGGCGGCTGCTGCCCAGGCGAGGAAGTTCCGCCGCTAGGAGCAATGGCTGCTCGCACCTCTGGCCAGTTCCACTACGTACGGTACAACGTCGGGGGGCCCGCCATCTACCACGAGTGGCTCACGTTGCTGCCAGGGTACATCCTCACCCCCGACGATGACGACTACGCGGAGAGCGACCTGGCTGGCGGCGACTTGAGATCAGTGCATGACTCGGCGGGCCAGGGCGACGCAATCGTCGGAGTCGCCGCCCATAGACTCTACAAGTTCAGACGGCTGCCGTCCGCAGCCGTCGTCTGGGCTGCTGTGCGCCGCGGCGTCGCTCAAGGCCACGGACCTTTGCCGCCGTCGCCCTTCAACCTCGAGCTCAGCGCCGACAACGTGCTGGGCGTGGCGGCGGGGGCGCTGGCCTTGCCCGACCCGCTCGGAGCGGCGCCCGCTGCCGCAGCGCCTGGCGCCCTGGCCTTGGCGGGCGCGGCCGTGCCCCCCGCGGGTGCCCCTGGGCCGCCCGCCGCCGTGGCCGCGGAGCCCGAGGGCGGGGTGGGCGCGCTGGCGGCGGCGCTCGGTGCGGGGTGAGCCGCCCTGCCGGCTGCCGCGGACCCTCTGGGCGTCGGCGGCGCCGCCGCGGCCCCCGCCGCCCCAGGCGTCGCGGGACCTGATCCCCGCGTGATGGCCACCGTGCTCGACGCTCGTGGGCTGCGGGACATGCCCTTCAGTGACGCCGTGAAGCGCCAGACCGAGACCGCCCGCGCCGACTGGCCCGCGAGGGGCCCTAGGACCACGACGTGGGTGCTCCACTTCATGCTGCGCATGGCGGGCGGGGCGATGGCGTGGCACAACCGCTGGATGGCCATGATGCAGGCCCTGGAGACGGACGACACCGCCAAGCTCCACGAGACGCTGTGCCGCGTCATCGAGACCTCGCTCTGCCACGACCAGCTGATCATCTGTCAGCTCTCCCCGAGGCTAGGATCCACTAATGGTGTTTTTTTCATGCCCCTTTCGTTGTTTTTTTCTGTTTTTTCTTATTTCGTTTTTGCGGCGCGCGCTGGGCTCGCGCTCCGCACTCATTGCTCATTGCCGTTTTTGTTGGATTCGGGCGCTATGGTTTTGCCCCCTCCTTTTCTAGGGGGGTGGCTGAATCGCGGGCGCGCGTGTGCCCATGGTTGCGCATCTCGCCAGAATGATTCGCGGCCATGGCGATAGCGCGGGGCGGGGCCCGGTGCGTGCCCAACGGCATGCGCGTTGCATGATAGCGGCGGAGTCGTCTTAAACGTGCGGTCATTATTTTGGCGTGCTTTGGAAATGACCCGCCAACGCCTTCCCGACATTGCAAAACACTCACAGGTGGCCATTGCTGTCAAACGCTCGCAAATTGCCATACACCGCCCTGCAGGCACTCGGAGGCTTCCTCCCAGTGTCGCGCCCGGGAGGCTCACATAGTGAGTCGGGCGAGTGTTTCTCAGCCATGTCAGTCGCTCTCGGCATCCCTGCGCGCGCTGACAGGGGGTGCTTTCTGCAGACTACTGCCGACGGCCCATCGACCCATCGGCCCAAATTGCATTGCCGATTAAGGAACTTGCGGGTGCTTCAACATGTATAACAGTTGAGCTGCAAAGGGGACCTTCGCCACAGACGTGCGCGAGATATGCATGGGCCAATGTGCGACCATATGAGCATTAACCGGTATAGAGCACGACATTGAGCATCGGCGGGGGCGGGTAAAGAAAAAACACGTGCATGGGCCAGTGAAGAACGAGAGCGATGCACGAGTGTATCCAACATGTGGTAACGACTACTCGACCGTCAAGGTACGCGGCCTGCCTCTCTCGAGCACTGTCTTTGGGACCGGCATTGCCTCGCGGGGTTGTCGTGAGGCTTTGTTGGGCTCCCGCGGGTCTCGTGGGGCTCGCTTGTCGGGCTCTCGCGGGGGTCCTGCGGGGCTCTCATGGGGTTCCCCGCGAGGATTTCGCCGGGCGTTCCTCGGTTCGCTCGGGGTCTCGTGGGGCTCACGTGGGGCTCTCGCCAGGCTCCCCCCAGGGGTTCTCGCGAGGCTCTCGTGGGGCTCTTGCGGGATCGATTGGGCTCCGTCGGGCTCCTCCCCTCCCCTTGTCATCCTCCCTCCTCCTTTCCTTGTTCTCCTCCTTCCTCTGGTCGGGCTCTGTCAGGCTTCGTCGGGCTCATCCTGTCGCCTTTTCCATTCCCTTTTGAGCTCTGTCGGGTTCCGTCGGGCTCCGTGTGGCTCCTTCTGGCTCCGTCGGGTTCCGTCGGGCTCTCGAAGTCTTCGTTGGGCTCTCATCGGTGGGTCTTGAAAATTGTCGGACCCTCTTGGGCGAAGTCACTCAGGGATCGCATCAAGAAGCCCACCAGGCAACAACGAGGGTCTTCCAGGAGGCCGCCCACGAACGGCCCAGGAGCGGACCCCCGAACGCCCCCACTAAGGGACCCAGTAACCAGCCCGCCAACGAGCCCACTAAGGGACCCACTAACGAGCCCACTAAGGGACCCACTAACGAGCCCACTAAGGGGCCCACTAACGACCCACTAACGAGCCCACTAACGAGCCCACTAAGGGGCCCACTAGCGAGCCCACCAACGAGCCCACGAGAAATCTTAAGCGGGACTTCGCACTCGACTGTGGCACTCGACTTTAAGCCGAATCGGCATGGCCACGAACCCTGTGACAGTCGTTAGTGGGGCGCAAGTGGGGCGCTAGTGGGGAGTGCAGTGTGGAGTGCAGTGGGGAGTGCAGTGCGGACCCCAACGGCCCTCTGAATGCTCCGGGGCCCCTGTTGCCCTGAGGAGCCGGAGGAGCAGGAGGAGGCAGGAGGAGGAAGAGGAGGAGGGAGGAGGAGGAGGAGGAATAATAATATGCAGGTGCAAGAGAGGATGGAAAAGGGCGAGGAGGAGGAGGAGGAGGGGGGGGGGGAGGAGGCAGGAGGAGGATGCAGAGGATGGGGGCTGCAGGAGGAAGCAGGATAAAATAGGAGGAGGAGGAGGCAGGAGGGAAGACGGCCTCGGAGGGCTGGAAAAAAGGGGCCCCGCAAGGTTCCGTGGGGCCCCCAGATGGCCCCCAAGAGCACCGCAGATGTTTCCAAGAGGGGCCCAGGAATATCTACCAACCGACCCCCTTGTGGTACATAATCCCGTGGGCCTTCTTGGGGGCCTCTTGAGGCCCTCTTGGAGCCCTCTCCGGATTCTTCCTGAGGCCTCTGCCGCCGTTTTTGAGGGGCCCAAGGAGGGGGGGCCAAGAGGGCCCCGAGAGGGCCCCGGGGATGTTTCACGGCCGTGACGCATCTCTGGGGACCTCTTGGGACCCTCATATGGCCCTGTTGGGGTCCTGATTTGCGTTTCTTGGGGCCATCTGGAACCCTCTTGGGGCCCTTTGGGGATCTTGTTGTAGCCCTCCGAGGCCGTGAGGGCCCGACGAGCCCGACGAGCGAACCCCGCGAGACACGTGAGAGCCCGACGAGCGAACCCCATGAGACCAGTGAGAGCCTAGCAAAGCCACACGAGAATCCCGCGAGGCAGTGCTCATCCAAAAGACAATGCCCGATTGAGGCCCTCTGCGTACATGGGCGGCTGGGAAAATGTCGCCACATTCTGGATACACCTGTGCACAGTTGTCGTGCTACACTAGTCCGTGCGCATCGTTATGTACGCCCGCCCATACATGTACATTTCTCTATACCGGCGTATGTGTGTTTTTTTTTTTTACTTGCCCATGCATGATATGTGAACTCACAGGCCCAAGCATCTTTTTTTGGCCGTCTGTGGCCAAGGCCCCCCTCTGCGACAAAACGTTTTTGTAAATGTTGGAACGCGCTCAGGCCCCCTCATCGGCAGTTCAATATGCGTTGGGGGTCGATGGGCCTCCGGATGCTGTCTGTAGCAAACGCCCCTTGCCAGCGCGCGCAGGGGTGCCGAGGGCGACCGGCAAGGCTGAGAAACATTCGCCCGACTCACTACGTGGCCCCCTGGTCGCGACGTTGGGCGGAGGCCTCCGAGTGCCTGCGGAGCAGTGCGTACGGGGAGAGTTTCGGCGGGCGTTTCTGCGCTTGCGCGGCCGCCTTTGGGCGCGTGCCCGCGACTGCGACCGCCCGCGGGCGCTTCGTGATCAGTTGCGGGTGCTCGTGGGCACGCGTGGAAAGTCTCGCCAACCTTTTCGGGAAGATGTGAACACGCGGGGGCGCTTGCCAGTGATTCCGCGTGCCTGTGAGCGCCCGTGGTCTCGCATGGCCGCTTGCGGGCGTCTCTCCCAGTAGCTGCGAGCTTCTGAGTGCCCGCGTGCCCCCCCGCGCGCGCTGAATGGCGTTGCTATTCTGCGAGCTGCGCAAACTGCCCCCAGCGTCAACGGAAGCCCCGACCCCAGTGAAACAACAGTTTCAGGAAAAAACGCTCCTGCGACGATCCTAGACACTGGGAGAGGTGACATCTGCGAGCTGGCCTCCTACGAGTTCCTTTCGCGGCAGCTGCAGTTGGTGGAGGAGCGCTTCTTCGAGGAGCGCGCGCGCAGGACTCAGCCTGCGCCCAAGGCCAAGGGCCAGGCCAAGGACGGCGCCGCGTCCGCGGCCGCCGAGGCCTCCTGGGAGATTGGCCACTTCCTCGGCACGGGAGAGACGATGGGCAACTTGTGCATTTGCCCAGCCTTGATGGACTGGATCGCCGACCAGATGAAGAGTGAGGCCGCCGTTGCAAAAGAACGTCGCAAGGCTCGCGAGGAGCGGGCCTTGCGGCATCCATGACGTTCCTGAAGGGCGCTGGCCAGGAGGGGCCTTACGACGTGTTACCGGTTCGTGGGCCTGGCCAGCTTTGCCCCGAGCCCTTCGTGGCTCCACCTGGCCTGGAGTCGCCCAGACGAGGTGACCGTCGCCAGCGTGACGTTTTTCCGCTCCCTCTTCTTCCAGTGGATGGGCGTCGCCATCTTCCGCTTGGTCGGGGTGCTCGTCTACGGGCCGCCAAAGGCGCGAGCTGGAGAGAGTGGTGCAACGAGGGGTTGACTGCTCTCAACTGGCTCCATTGCGGCAAGGACGAGCCCTCCATGCCTGACGACGGGGGGGCACCGCCTGCGGCCCAGGCAGCCTCAGTGGACTACATCGCGGGCTTGCACCGCGACTTCGAGCTGCCCGCCGCCCACTCGGAGAGAGGCCGCGATTGCGAAGCATCCCTCGCAGAGATGCTCGCGCAGGCACCTGGCTACGCTGGCGACAGCGGTCGTGCGCGCCCCTTCAGCATGCCACTTGTGGCCTGGCCCGAGTCGACGAAGGCAGTCTCCACCTGCGGCGTCGTCTCCGAGGCCGACTCCATCGTGCTGCAGGATTGGAGGCAGCGTATGCTGAATCCCGAGTCGGTGGCGGCGGAGCTCCGTGAATCGTTGGGGGTTAGTCGCCCCTATGTGGATCCCGAGCTGCGCTTTAAGCCGAAGTCCTACGCTGAGTTTTTGAAGCAGCTGGAGGCCCACGACATGATCACCTGGCGGGTCTCCAGCGAGCAGGCACCCTTCTCTACTGGTCTTTTCTTTGTGCTGAAGACTAACGGCAAGCTCAGGCTGGTGTTCGACACCAGGCTGGCCAACTGCAGCTTTTCGTGCCCACCAGCCACTCGCCTGCCCACGCCCAGCGCGTGGGCCAGCCATGACTGCGACGACAGTTTTCAGTTCGCGCAGGGCGGCATCCAGTGTGCATTCTATCATTTGCGACTGCCCGCTGGCATGGGGTCTCTCTTCTCTTTGCCACCGAGAAACAAGAGATTCCTCGGCCTCAAGTCGGTCAACGGGGTTCGTCTCGGCATCAACGATTATCTCCAGCCTCTTGTCACGGTCGTTCCCATGGGGTGGAGTTGGGCTCTACACCTGTGCCAGAGTGCGCTGACGAGAGCCCTGTCAGATGTCGGGTTTGGCAGTGACGATATGATTCTGGATGGGGGATGTCCTCGTCCCTTGGTGGCGGAGAAGGACGCGGTGTGTGCTGGTTATGTTGAC